ATGGTAGCTCTCTCTCTCTCTCTCTCTCTCTCTCTCTCTCTCTCTCTCTCTCTCTCTCTCTCTCTCTCTCTCTCTCTCTCTCTCTCTCCCCACACACACTACGGTCGTCTCCCCAACACGACACACCCTCATTTTGGCTGTACACAGCCAGAAATATTGCTTGTATACATGTGGTATGAAGATGGGTTGCGTTCGGTGGAAGACCGTAAAACTCTCTCTCTCTCTCTCTCTCTCTCTCTCTCTCTCTCTCTCTCTCTCTCTCTCTCTCTCGACTATACTATTTTCCCCTTGACACAACGCACCCTCACTTTGGCTGTACCGCACCGGCGGAAGGCAGTAGAAGTCTCTCTCTCTCTCTCTCTCTCTCTCTCTCTCTCTCTCTCTCTCTCTCTCTCTCTCTCACCCCGCAGTACTGTCTTCCCCTAAACACAACACACCCTTATTTTGGCCGCACCGGATCGAAAAAATAACTTGTAAACATTCGGTATCAGGGTGCATTGAATTTGACTCGTAGGAAAGAGAGTACAACTATCTCTTGCTCTATCCTTTCCTGAACATAGCACACCCTCATCTTACCAACATAAACTGGAAAGATAGCTTGTATACATTCGGTATGAGAGAAGACAATAAAGCTCTCTCTCTCTCTCTCTCTCTCTCTCTCTCTCTCTCTCTCTCTCTCCCCCTATATATATATATACATATATATATGTATATATACAGGGTTCAGCCTCCTGATGAGTCGGTGAAACTCCGACGAAACAGTTCGTCACAGCCCCTCGTTTGTTGTCCTCTTCTCCTCTTTGCCTATGGTTTACCGGGCAGCTCATATATACCTTTCTTTGTTTCATGGGTGCTTTGCTGGCTTGTGATGGGGTATGAACCGACAGTCTGTAGAGTTTTCCATCTGGTCTGAGTGAGTGATAGTCTACTTCAATTTTCGTCACAGGTACCTTAAGGGCAGTGGTTGGTGCCCACCTCAGGGTATCAGTTGTTGGGCAGTCGTTGATGCTCAACCACAACCGGTGTTAAGGTGGATCATCACTTACAGTGTAATCAGTTAGGGGATTCTGTAGACTGTTGAGGGTTCAGCTTCCTGATGAGTCGGTGAAACTGCGATGAAACAGTTTGTCACAGCCCCTCTTTTGTTGTCCTCTTCTCTCTTCTCCCTCTCTGCCTACGGTTTACCGGACACCTCTGTTTGATGGTATATATACATATATATTGTCTCATATCTATGAACTTCAAAAGCGCACTTCGCAAAACAAACAAGGAAAAAAAAAAACAAGACAAGCATGAAGATCACACTGATACCACTCATTTTTCTCCTCCTTTTTTTAACTCCCCCTTCACAATGCCTGTCGCGTACAAGGCTCGCCACGTTGATGAAGTCAAGAAAGCTGCCAGCATCCCCGAGTGCCATAACGGCCCACTTCTACGCTGTGAGAAAGAGGCGAAGTAAAGGGGAAGGGGGAGAACCACAGAGAAGCGAGAGATGGAGAGGTGACAAACCAAAAAACGGCAAAGGGAAAGTAAGGCAAAGTAAGGAGTGTCGAACAAAGATAAGGCAAAGGGGACAATAAGAAAAGGCTCAAGAACCAGTCTGTCCGTCGACAAAAAAAACATACATTGTAAGGATGAGGTGGATGAACACATGGAAAACGTAGCTGAGCATTCTCGACACCAGAATTGCCAGGAAGACTGGCATTGAGCATGCCCACCATGAAGGAAGAACGTTCATCACAAAAGACCCATGCATTCAGTATATTGCCCATGGCCGCAAAATTAACAATATAATGTCTGGGTGCAGAGGGTGCCTGCAGCCAGGAATGGAGGGGCAATCCTCTACACACATGGATGCAGAAACCATGTCATTGTAGTGATTGTGACAGAGATGATGGCAGCTACAGCCAACTGTAACAGTGTTTGTGGTTGTGCAAAGGAGAAGCATGCAAAGCGTTGGTACATTGTCCTGCTGCAGCGCGGAGCCAGAGGAATGATCTTCGACAAAAAAGAGATTGTGGACCGTTTAGTGTGGCAAGAAAACAACACCATTATGGAAGAAATCAGTAACATTAGTCATGGCATGGACCATGATGCCATTGGCCCGCACCTTCCAGTGGTCAGAAGGCATGTACAATGGCCAATATTATGGCCAGGTCCGTGCACAATGAAGGCAGAGATGTGGCATGGAGGACTAAACCACTCACCTGCTCGAGCATTGCGTAGTTGAAGTTGGCAGCCCCTCATTGCTACTTGTAGGACAGCAATGGTAAAGCCTTTTTCCCTGGTATATATATCTCTCAATACATTTATCTATCCATCTATCTGTCTACTATTCCATCCATCCATCCATCCATCCATCAATCTATACATATATTATCTACTATTTATCTACCTACCTATCTACCTATCTATCTATCTAGATAGATAGATAGATAGATAGATAGATAGATAGATAGATACTCTATCTACTCTCTCTACTCCTGTCTCTTATACACATCTAGATGTGTATAAGAGACAGATCTATACCTATCTATCTATCTATCTATCTATCTATCTATCTATCTCCGGACTCATCGATCACTCAATACACATATCTATCTCTGCACCCATAGATCATTCAATAATATAAATATACATATCCATAGATTTTTTTGGACTCCAATATCTATCTATCTAATTATGGAAGAACGGAACCAACAAGAAGATTAGGAAGAAGAAATGTGAGCGGAGCAAGCACAGGAAGAAGAAAAGGAAAAGGAAAACGAAGCAAATAAGACAAAACAGAAAAAAATGAAAAACACACAAAAAAAATAAAAACAATAAAAAACATTCGCATAAACTTTACACACCGCGTTTGAAACACACGAACGCACACACACACCGCCACGTGGAACACACAAAGTGTTGGACGACCAGCTGCACACCGAAAGCAGACGCATGTGCAACACACAAACTCCGTGACACAGTCACAAGTTGCACCCCCCCGATATCATGACATACACCATCACCACCCTATAAACAACACTTCCCCGAATGTTCATGGCCACTGACGCTGAACGAACAACACCTAAAAACGAAATGGCGGTGGCAGGAGAACAGGAGAGAGGAGGCGAAGGAACGCCCGGCGGAAGTTGGACACCGAAATCGTTCCAGTCCGAGTGGGCCCACGACTGCTATACCGCTGATGGTACTGCGAACAGCGCACTGGGAGTTGTTGGTAAGCATCCTCCTTTCTGAAAAGTTTCAGGTTCCCGCCGGCGATGAGGCCAAGCAGTTCTAAATTCAGAGGCCCAACATTTCTTCTTTCTTTTTTCTTTTTTCTTTTTTCTCTTTCTGCTTACTTTTGCACCACATTTTTTTCATTTTTGCCTACCAGATTTTCCAATCCGCAGCAGCGTGTCTGTCACTGTCTGAACCAGTGGACCCTTTTTGCTACCAGCCTGGTTCAACCCGTGGCGATTGGGGGCTTTCCGATGAGTCGGCCTGCAAATTGCAGGACCCTCCACCGCCGCCCGGGAAATGGTCACTACCCACCTGCCATACGCGCTCCGAACTCACCGAACTCCACCGCCGCCCGGGAAATGGTCACTACCCACCTGCCATACGCGCTCCGAACTCACCGAAAAGCCTACTTCTGGCCAGCGGGGGAAGTGGTGGTTTAATTTTAAAAACAAACAAACCAACCCGAAAACATCATTCAATGATCATTGCATTATGGTCAAGGGACCGGTTGCCAAGGATGAAAAAAGGGAAGCCAGACTCTGAAAACAAACATTGCTGAGCCAAAACTTGTGAGCATACGTCAAGCACGCGTTTCACCCGCACACGAGAGACTTTTACGAAATGGAAACAAGTCAAGAAGATATCTTTTTCAGATTGCATATGCTGCCAATTTTCCGCTGAATGCGTAATGGAGTTGAACATATCCAGATTGGTCCCCCCATGAGGAACCCCGTTAGATATCTACAAACTCGCCTCTTCTTCAGCTGGAGCCATAAATGCACAAAGGCACCTCTCTCTCTCTCTCTCTCTCTCTCTCTCTCTCTCTCTCTCTCTCTCTCTCTCTCTCTCTCTCTCTCTCTCTCTCTCTTTCGCTCGCTCGCTCGCGCGCGCTCATCCTTGTTCATTTTCTTATTTCCATGACATAGCAAAGCGGGTATACACCCTCCTTTGCCAAATCCATGTACTTGCTGAAAGTATCAAGTGACAAGCGAATGACCTCTGTGCTAAACACCACCACCATCCCCTCTTCTCCTCTCTTACCGCTCCTAGGGAGAGGCTTCACAGAGCTCGCAGGAATGGCCCAACAACTCAGAAAGGAGCTTAGCATGAACTACTTTGATCGGTGGTACGATCCGATCAGCCTCCACGTACTCCATGTGCCCGCAACTTGAAGCTGATGCATCTCTACGCCTTCCTCTTTGAGAATGTTTCCTCGACTTCCTTTCCTATTTTGCCACCCAGTTCTGAGTGTTTTCCTGAAGAAGCTGTTTATGACTAGTCCATCAAAAAGCTTCAAGAGACACCCTCGTGCCCACTCCACCTTGCTCATGCCTTTCCAGCAAGAGAAAGACTTCCCGAAACCATATTCTATCTTTCACCAAACCCTCCTCCTCCAGAAGGGTCTGACGTCTGCGCTCTTATCGTTGTGTACTAATCCTCATCCTCCTCCATTCATAAATAAAGGGCCTGAACACAAATTTACTTGTGTAAACTTTCATCTTCTCTCCTATCATCATCATCTAAAGCATGGATGAACAAAGTTATGCTCCATAACTAATAATTATGGACAAAGCAAGTCACTATCACTGATCATCCTCGTCAACCTTCGTTCTGCCTCCGCACCGCTTCACTTGGCTCTACAGACAACACAAAACCTCCTCTTCTGCAGTATTCCGCCTCTCCCCCTCTCCCGACCCTTGTCCCTCCGAACCCCTGTGCCAGCCCGGCATACTCCTTTGAACCTACTATAAATCGACTTCTTCATTGAGAGGCACAGCGCCTCCTGTCCCATCGACGCCTCCTGTTCCATCGACTTCTCAGAAGGAACGGCTACCGCAAAGCAAACACTCACAAACCAACCACCTCCGCGAGATCAACAACAGCGATGGTGACACAAACACCAATAACAAGATGGCAGCTGCAACACTGGCAACACAAAGACGATGACTACGCTGATGGTGACCCCCAAAAAATTGACAGCAAAATTCCACCCCCTCCGCCTCTGAAAGAAGAGCCCTCAAACTTTCTGGCGATTTCCTTATGGAGCCATACCTCCGTGTTTCTGTCCATTCCTCGGGACTACCTGCGGTCAGCTTTGCTCCACTGCACCAACATAGGCCCCCTCCTAAGCACCGAGTCCTACCTACGTAAAAAAAAAGCCGCAACAAGGGGTACCCTTTCTGACCTATCACCCTGAACAACAAACCCAACACCCTTTCTGTGATCTCGCATGTGTCATTGATTGGCATGCGCCAGATGTGTCCCACACAGTGCCTCCTCCGCAGTGACGTCCCACATTGTTGCAATGATCCATCCGTGTGTGTAATTCCGGCAGCGAATCGATGAAATCGCAGCTTAACTCAGGCTCTGTACAATCACCGCCGGAATCGAGGGGATTCACTGCGGCTGCCGCTTTGCCTGATACCTCGGTAGATCGGACTGCCAACACAGCCAAGGGAGGACGGAAAGAGTGAAGAGTCATTTCCCGCCATTGCGATTTTCCCTTAGTCAATCACCACTAGCACATTCAGTTTTCTGTGAGAGCCCCCCTCCTTGCAAAGCATCTGAGCTACCCACCCCCAACGATAAGCCCAAAGGAGATAACACTTCAGAAGGGTGACATTAAAAAAAAAAAGAAAAAAAGAAGAAAAAAGAAGGGCGACACTCACGGAAAACTGAATGTGCTTCCTCCTCCCCCCAGATAACTCTTGAGAAGGGGGACACTCAAAGTGTTTCTATTTCAACACTACCGTCTTCACCCAAATAGCATGCCCGGTCATTATCACTGCATCTGGACCGAAAGTTGGGCCGAATGCAGCTATAATGACCGGGCGCTCTATTCTGGTGAAGACGGTAGTAGACATCCAAAAGGATAGGGCCTAAAGAGAATTTATGATAAACCGCCGCCATAGCTAGGGCGAAGTAATGAAATCAGTGTTATTTTGTCATTCGTGCTTTTCCTGTGTGGGGACGGGACTGCTCGAAGTGTACAATGTGTGTGTTGTGCTCGTTTTTTTTTTTTTTTTTTTTTTTTGTGTGTGTGTGTGTGTTGTGCTTGTTAAGTTGTAACAAATAGTAAACAGACATTGTTCACGTGGTCCCCACAACATCTACTAGTATGTTTCCTATTTATACTGTTCCCAGGTAGTATGTTCAAAATTTTAATTGACGTCAATCAATCATCCAAAATAGGCCAAAACTTTCACAAGTGTTTATTCAACTTTATTAAAGTTTATTTGGTGCTGTTGGTTTATTTGGTGTCCACTCCATGGACTTGTGACAAGTGTCTGGCTTAAAAGGCGTGGGATATCTGTTATAATGACCCTGAAAAAAGTTAAAAAAACCCTTCTGAAAATTTAGGGCTCTGTTAACCTCTTCTCAAAACTTTAGGATGACGCATTATTGTGGGTATTGTACTCACAAGTGTCATTCTTGCACAGCAGCTGAGCTGATCTTCTGAGAGTTGTTGTGTAGTTCCCATCCCCAGTTATACATCTCACCATGTACCTTACCGACTGTGAAGATTTTTCATTCCTTTGGCCCCTTTCTGCAAACCCCCATGCACCGTCCACTGTCTATTCCAACATGCATCAACGACTGTGTCTATTCGAACATGCATCAACGACTGTCTATTCAAACATGCACCGTCCACTGTCTATTCGAACATGCATCAACGAATGTCTATTCGAACATGCATCAACGACCGTCTATTCGAACATGCATCAACGACCGTCTATTCGAACATGCTTCAACGACTGTCTATTCGGACATTCCTCAACGGTCTCTGTAACAGGCAGACGCATAGGCAACAATCCTTTGGCGGGGCAGCAATTACCTGTAAGAGATTGGGGGATGGAATGGGGAAAGGGATGTGTTGAAGGGAGCATCATTTCATGACACATGGAAGGGTAGATCCTTTCACGACATGGAGGAGAGGGAAGGTGATGCGTGGGTGTCCCAACGCACATGGACACCCAAGGAGAGAGGGTGTGCAAGGAAAATGAACTGCTCACCGAAAAAGGTAGAAATGGGAGAGAGTGACAGTCGCAGGGTCGCAATTTGGAAAAAGCAGAATGGAGAGGGATAGGCCTAGGCAACAGTGAAATGAGAAAAAAAATAGAAAATTGATGAGAAAAATAGAAAATTGATTATGTGGTAGTTCGTAAGACGCGCATCTGGCCATGATCTGGCGAGAAGTTCATTCTCATTTTGCACGTTTCGAGAGTGAATGGCTGAGACGAAGAGAGGAACAGTGATGACGACTCCTTTATTATCTTTACCGCCACTACGTTCCCCATGTTTGATTTACAGGCCTATACTTGACAGGGTTATATTACCATTATAAACTTTTAACCGAAGACGAATGGTGTGGTTGAAACCCGTGTTGAAGTCTTTTGGTGATTTTTTAAAATAAAAACAAAAATGGGCCATTTGGTCCATTTCTCTATTTATGCGTGTCATCCTTGCACAGGGGCCATGCTAATCTCCTTTCTCTGTATCGTTCCAATTTTAACTGATGTCCCGAAGGACACGGTCAATCCTGTTCATCTGATGGGTTGTGTGTCACAGGTGGGTTGGGACGCATCATGGAGTAGGTTGTGTGTACCTTCTTGAGCGTTCGCGTCCATTCCCCAGATGGGCTGCATACATTTTGTCTTCCCTAGGTGTCGGGCTGCGCCCCCTCCGCCGGCTGCCGCTTTGCCAGTTATACCTTCCTTGTTGAGGGTATGACAATCCTACATCGGAACCCTCACCCGGTCGCCATCGTCCATGGTAATCACTGCCATTTCCGCGACCATAGTTCACACCGCCATTGCTTGGCCCAACTCCCATGCCTCTGCTTCCCACTCCCCGGCGTCCGATGGGTGAGCGCGACCTGCTCCTGCTCCTCCTATTATAATCCTCTGCGCCCTCCTGTTCCATAAACACGATAAAGACAACCAACCACCCAGACACCATTGTTAATCCTCTTCCTTATTTTCCCTTTTCTTTTCCCATCCAACGCAATCACATCTACCTTCCTTCGAATGAGCGAAGGCCGGCTCTCCGCTCCGCCATAATCTTGATCCCAGAGTCCTTGAAAGAAAGAAAAAGAAAAATACGGGAAAAAAAAACAGGGAGAGGTGGGAGAAGGGAAAGTGAGGGGGGGGAATCCCCGCAAAGGGACAGATGCCAGCCCCTAGCAATGCCAAATGCATCAGGGTTAAGATAGCTAAAGGATCAACAGTGCTGCCAGCGCAAGCTCATACCTTTCAGCTACAAGCCAGGCAACCTATATTATCGTCAGTGTTTTTTTTTTTTTTTTTTTTTTTTTTTTTTTTTTTTTTTTTTTTTTTTTTTTTTTTTTTTTTTTTTTTTTTTTT